CCAAGAAGAAGGGCAGCAGAAGAACGCTGGCGGGTGGGGGGAGAAGCAAGAAGAAGCGGCGCAGAAGAACGCGGGTGGGTGGGGGGAGAAGCAAGAAGATGCGGCGGAGGCCGGCGGCGGCGGCGGCGGCGTCGTGATGTGGAAGCACGACCGCGTGGGCGAAGGTGGTGGTGACGATCGGGCGGAACGCGGCTCTTCGGTGGGCTGGGAAGACGTGGAAAGGCGAGTTAGTTCTCCCAGGGTCCTCTGACGTGGTGTTTGGTTTGGCCTGCGATGCATGGCCCGTTTGTTCGTGGTGGTCTTCAGCCGCCTAAGAGGTCTTGTTTTTTTGTTGGAGGAAGCGTCTTTGTTGGTATGGCTCTCGCTGGGCCAGACGACCGCTAAATAGGAAGAATGAAGGCCAAGGCGTCAACATGTGCTCACCCTGGCCCCTACCCTATCACATCTTGATAAGGCCGCCCTCCAAGGTGTAGCAAGATCTTCACTTCTACAACTCAACTAGTCACGGGATCCACCCAATTCCTTTGGCCTATGGTGTGCACTCCGAGAACCGGGCTCGGGGGTTCCTTGTTACACCTGTTTTTTGTTTTTTGTTTTTGTTTTGCTTGTTTTCTGCAGGCCAAGGCGAGCCACGGGGCGCCCTCGCAACAAACTATACCAACCTCTTTTATTCATTTGTTTTTTTTTTGTCTGTGTTTTTTTCGCCTTGTTGTCTGCAGGCCAAGGCGAGCCAGGGGGCACCGTGACAAGAAAAGCTCTTCCCGAAGCTGCGGCGGTTCCTCCACCGACAAAGACGGCGACGATTACGTCATCATGGCGGACTCCGTGGAGCTGGAGAGCGTCTACAGCACCAGTGGCAAGACCAGCCTCATCGCGGGAGCCTTCGGGCTTCCCCACCGCAGAAGGCACGGGAGAGCCCTTAGCACCAGCAGCCTCGGCCTGTCGAGCATCGATGACTCCTTCCTGTCCTCCTTCGCAGCCGGCGGCACCACCGGCGGCGGCGGCGGCGGCGGCGGCGGCGGTACCGGCGATGCGACGCTTTGCAGCGTCGCGGAGAGCCCACTGAGAGCCGCGGCGCGACCGGAGGGCCGCCGCCAAGGCGGCGGCAGACACCGGCCGTCTGCTGCTTCCCTGTCTCCCGAGCAGGCCGCGGGGCATAGCGGTGGCGGCCGCGGCCCCCGCGCCGCCCGCGTGGGCGCCTCCCGCGCCTCCCGCGCCGCCCGCCGTCGTCCCCGCCCTGGCGGGGGTAATAACGCGTCCGACCCCGAGTCTTCGAACGTCCCCGCTTCCGTCGTGTACGGCAGGGGAAGAGCGGCGCTGCGCTTGGAGGACGAAAGAGACACGACGGCCAGCAAGCTGGAGCGGCTGCACAGCTTGTTCGGCGGGTGCGTGGATTCCCCGCCCCCCGCGAGGCGGCCGGCGCTTGCCGCCAGCTCCAGCGAGGGCGTAGCCGCCGTGCGGCGCTCGCATCCTGGGAAGGCCGCCGCCCGCACTACCACTACCGCTACCGCCGCCGCGATGCTCGACGGTTTCCCGCCGCCGTCCCCGCCGACTTTAGCCGCGACGGTGAGCGAGGGGACGGGGCCCCCGCGACTGCGACCGAAAGGTGACACTACGAAGTGGTTGCCCCTCAACATTAACAAGTAGACGTTGTTTGTGAGACGGTACGCGAGAACGCGCGCTGTAGCCGAGCTAACGGAAACATCCCTTTTTCTTTTCTTTTTTTCGTGTGCTCGGTGGTGGTATGTCTGGAACTTTTGTTTTTTCGAGCTGGTGCGCGTCGCAGTGGTTTTGCTTGTTCTGTGTTTTGTGGTTGGCTGATTTGTTTTTGGACCCCCGTGCGGGATACTGTATGCGGTTGCGACATTCGTTCGGCATATTCATTCGTGTTCGTTGCGTGGCCTTAGCTGGCTCGTCGACTCCAGAGATCGGGTGTGGGCCGGTAGATGTTGTTGTTCGTATTCTCCTGCCTTGTTTGGTCTTGATCATTTACTGTAGCTGACTCGTCGACTCCAGAGATCGGGTGTGGTCCGGTAGATGTTGTTGTTTTTATGGTGATCATATTGCTTGATTTTGATTGGTGCCCTCGACGGAAGGGACGACGCGTGCCATATGCTGGGCGCGGGCCCCGGGGACGCAATACCCAGGCTTTAAAGCACACATGTGGTCGATTGTGGGGATCATACGGACCCCGCTCGCTGTTGTGGTATGATCCTGTGCTGTGCAGTATCTGCGATAACGGGCGACGGCCCCAAATCCATCCTTGTTGCGGGCTTGGCACCGATTTGTGTATAATAGATATGCACGCCCTTCTGTACATTAGCGGGCGTTTGACCAAGCGCCGGGGTTCTGTGTGAAAGGGACTGGTATAGATGAAGTTAGAAAGTTGACATTTTGTTTGTTTAAGTTGGGAAAGGTGTCCCGGATTTGTGCGGGTGAAATCGCTTGCCATGCACCCGCACTAGTGAAGCCCCTCTACAGTACTATTTCTCATGTATGTTGCTTCTGCTTTTGCTCGGGCCGCTTTACTACTGGATGTTGTTGTTGCCGTGAGCTTGAAGATTTTGGTTTTTTGTTTTTTCAGTGTGTGAGTTTAACCTTGTAGTGATAGCGCGGCCATGCTTTCGATCCGGCGATAACAGCTGCTTCTCGATCGCGGCTGTAGCCTGTTCTCTCGAGCACACTCACTCCCTCCCCAGCCGTAATGAGAACGTGCGGCGTTGTGTGAGTGCCAAGTGCCTATGCCCAAAGTAGCAGTAGCAACATGCGTTGCGAGTTGCCTGTTTTCTTTTTTTCTTCGGCCGTTCGTTTGCGGCCTGTCTTGTGTGTGTCTTGTGTAGCACTCGGAGAGAGTCACGACCCCAGCGATTGACCCCTATTTTCGTTCTGCTTCGAAGTGTTACTGTTTTTTGTTCTGTGCATATGTCACTGTTTTTGCCCTGTTGTTTCGAAGACGGCGCCCGTTTTGACCTGATGTGTTCCGCACGAGACCGGCTTGTTCTGCATTGATTCCGCCGCTGCTGTTGCCGATTTGTGTGTTTCGCTGTGTTGTGGGTGGTGAGGGGGCACACGTTATTGAGACGCCACCTTTTACCTGCAACCGGGGCGTATTTGACGATGCCGCTGTTACAAATGCGCATCTATGGACTGCAGTATTAGTAGTAACATCCTTCCGACCTTGTTTGTGCCGAATGAGAGTGTTTGGTGACAGTTTTTTTTTTTCTTGGTTTATGGACTGGTCATGGGTAGGACAACCATAACATAACATAGCATAACATAAAACGACCAGCGATCCTTGGATGGCGGGTGATGTTTTCCACGCGGACGGGTTTTCGGGAGAGGATAACGTCACTTGGGAGATCTTGATCGGGCGCCCCCAGTGGGTAACTTCACGGGAAGAAATAGTGAAAAGATGTCCGCGGAGATCTCTTGGATCTAGCCTTTGTCTGTGATGGGTCAAAAACAATTAGATCACAATACCAACAGTGGCACGCAGTTGCTTTCAGTGATTGGTCGAGACATCAAACACTTCGGGTTCGAGGGAGAATGATTTTTTTGTTGGGCCAATGAAAAACCGCGTGTGCCACAATACGTATTTTATAGATTCCTTGTCGCTGTCCTTGCATGCGCCCGGGTTCGGTATGATTTGTTTGCGGCGTAAACATGTCTGGTGGTTGGTGGTTGTAAGACTCTCTGAAGTTGGTAGTTGGTGGAAATGGAGCGTCTCCTTCTCTCTGTTCCATGGTGAAACCGCCGATCCAAGCACATTATTGTATTACGGTCCTGTTTTTTCATCGTTTTCCATGATTATTATGTTTTTTTTGTGCTTCATTTTTTATTGGTGAGAAGTGACCCCCTTGCCCGGGGTGCTAGGCTTCCCCATAACTAGTCTAGGTGCTTTTGTACTGGTAAATAGTGGATAATGGAGTTGATTTCCTTCGGTTGGTGCTCGTGAGGATATAATGTAAACGGCTTTGACCCCCAGACGGGGGCTGGCTTTGCTTCATAGTCTGTCTGGTGAATTTTGTGCCAACGGTCCGGTCAACGGCAGTGAGCAGCTACCGCCCCTCTATCGCCCGTTGGTTGGGGGCCGACGATTATGATGCCGCCGCCGTTGTCAAGAAGCAGCCGGGGGCAGCTCTGCGGAGCATACGTATCCAGCTTGACTTGGGGGGTTTGCGGAGCAAAATTTGACTGTTTAGTAAAGGATCGGACCCAGCTTGATGTCGGGGTAGAAGCCGGGACGAAGGAGTGAGGGCGTTGTTAGGTTCCCTGTCCCTGGTGTAGGAACTACAATGTTCCAGGGCGAGACTACACGACACGTGGTGGGATCATCTGTGTTTTAGGTACTCGAAGACGTCAGTCAACAGTACGTGCGGTTCGGCGGGGATACAATACGTGATGGTACACCATGGGCATGAGAGATACACGTACGTGTGCTCTCCCTGTGTGTCTCTCTTTGGGCACTGAGTACACCTCGTTCACCACTCGATCAATCGAATGAGGGTTGATGTGAGACAGACGGTGTTTGAGTCAACTTTTGCCGTGCATCTGGCGAAGCTGCCCGCAAACACGTGGACCGGGTTGAGCGGTAGGTAGGGTATTCGCTGCCAGGGCTTTAAGGTAAGACTTTTTTTGACGGATGAGGTTTTCGATGTAAAAAGAGGCGACCGGGGCTTCGACGCAGGAATCGAGCTGTCTGTGTCCCCCGCTGACGTTTGAATGTTACTACTCTTCCGGGACACAGAAGCGTTTGTCCCCCTCTGCCTTACCTTGCAACAAGAGACTCTGAGCTCTTCATCTATCCGTCAACAACGAGCAAAATATCGGCGGGTCGAGTTGTTGCTGTTCGTTCCCATAACCCGAATCAAGCCAAATTTGAGTCTCCCGGCATTCGAAAGAACAACGCCTCTTCAATTTTTTCAAAAGGTTCTCGCAACCGCCTTGACTTCCCTCCAATTCGGGATTGAAAGCTTCACCACCCCGGAGGATAGGAGTCTGAGGCGAAGGCGTTAACCCAATGTGCTACAGAATTATATCGCAACACACGTGGACCCTCCTCGTTGCTCTATCATCGTTGCCGGCGTGATCCGGTGAGTGTGTGCATGTGGTGCACACTCATGTAAGAAAGGTTCTTGGAGCATTCATCTTCCAAAAGCCAGTTCTCCAGGACGAGGCAAAACCAAAAGTCAGGTCAACTCAGTCACGTAAGGTTTGACGTTCTGTCTTTGACGCTCACCGCCGGTGGTGAGAGGCGACACCCGAAACGAACGCCGCATTCTAAAAAAACTTCTTCTGCACGCTGTCAACGAGTGACCCCCCATCGCAGAGCTTCGCCCACGCCCATTGCTACACAACCAAGAGGTTGCAGGCATTCAAGTCCATGCCGGAGGCAAGGCGTATTTTTTCTGTCATGCTGCCGAGATTTACGGTGACGGCCGGCCATACGCCAAAAAAAAAAAAACACAGCCCTACAAACCACGGACACGCGCCTCAACACACACTACACGTCTCTCGTGGGCGGGAACTGGAACTGCTACGCCCTTGTAGAGGCACCGTGATGGAGTCACCACTATGTCCCCCCCCCTACCCCTCCATCCGCCCTGGTGGCTCCGCCGGCAGTCAGAGGTAGCCGTGGTACAAAAAAGGGAATAGGCACCATAGTGAGGTAACCCCCCC